TCAAATAAATAAATAAAATCTTTAAAAAAAAAAAAAAAAAGAATACAGGAGAGGGGCACCTGGGTGGCTCAGATGGTTAAGCAGCTGCCTTCGGCTCAGGTCATGATCCCAGGGTCCTGGGATCGAGCCCCACATCGGGCTCCTGCCTCAGCCAGGAGTCTGCTTCTCCCTCTCCCTCTGCCTCTCTCCCTGTTCATGCTTTCTCTCTCTCTCTCTGTATCTCTGTGTCTAAAATGAATAAATAAAATCTTAAAAAAAAAAAAGTCTCTCTCCCTCTCCCTCTGCCCCTCCCCCATTCCCTGTGCACGTGCCTACTCTCTCTCTCAATAAATAAATAAATAAAATCTTAAAAAAAAAAAAAGACTACATGAGAGTTTATGTGCTACTTCTCGGCACACAGTCGGAGCATAATAAATCTTCAAAGATGGAGCAATTGTTAATATGAATACTATCACAACTTCCATCATCTCCCTTTAAAACTCCTGATCTCTGGGTTGTAAGGTCAAGCCCCACGTTGGGTATAGAGATTACTTAAAAATAAAATCTTTAAAAAACTTTTTTTCAGCGCAGTTGTATAGACTCTTGAACAACATGGCCCCAACTGCGTGGATCCACTCACGTGTGGATTTTTTACAGTACAGGACTGTAAATGCATTTTCCCTCCCTTATGACTCTTTTTTTTAAGATTTTATTTATTAAAAAAAAAAAGATTTTATTTATTTATTTGAGAAAGAGAGAAAGAGCGAGAGAGAGCGTGAGCGGGGGAGGGGCAGAGGGAGAGGGAGAATCAGACTCGCCGCGGAGCAAGGAGCCCAACGTGGGACTCGATCCCAGGACCCTGAGATCATGACCTGAGCCGAAGGCAGACGCTTAACCGACTGAGCCACCCAGATGCCGCCCCCTTACGACTTTCTTAATAACATTTTCTTTTTTCTAGCTGACTTTCTCGTAAGAATACAGTCTATAATACATATAACATACAAAATCCGTGTTAATCAACAGCTTATGTCATCGGTAAGGATTCCGGTCAATAGCAGGCTATTAGTAGCTAAGTTTTCGGGGAGTCAAAAATTATATGTGGATTGGGCGCCTGGGTGGCTGAGTCGTTAAGCGTCTGCCTTCGGCTCAGGTCGTGATCCCAGGGTCCTGGGATCGAGCCCCGCATCCGGCTCCCTGCTCAGCGGGAAGCCTGCTTCTCTCTCTCCCACTCCCCCTGCTTGTGTTTCTGCTCTCGCTCTCTCTCTCTCTGTCAAATAAATAAATAAAATCTTTAAAAAAAAAATGCAGCGAGATAATAGGAAGTGGGGAGCTCTGAGTATTTATTACCTCTGTTTTTAACATGATTTGTTAATTGTAAGTCTGTCTCATGTACATTTTCATAACAGCTTCTTTAATTAGCTACTTCGCACATTTCCTGAAACCCTGACCGTCGGTTCTAGCAAGCTTCTGCAATACTGCTATAAACAGATACATTACTACAGGGCCATTTCAAACTCCGTGTTACAAACGGGGAAACCAAGGTAGGAGACGGTGAAGCAAGTTACCCAAAGGTCATTTATCACTTCAACCGACATCTGATTGCCCTGATCTAGATGTCGCAGCCAAGGAACAAGGAACAAGATGCAGGAACAACAAGGTGGCCGCAGCCCCTCCTTCCAGAGCGCGGGGTCTGACGGAGGAGGCAGACTCGTTACTTAAACTCCAGGCTCGGGATGCGCAATCGCATAAGCCACAAGCGCGGGGCTGGAGTTAAGGGGAGGGGACATGTCTGTTGCAACCTGAAGGAGATAATGAACAGGAAGAAAAGAGAAGGCCCCGCCGATGGGGAGGCCAGAGGCTTGCCTCTGATTTCGTGGCCGGGGGAGTTTCTGGTCCCCTGCAACGGAACTTGTCCACCAAAGGCCGGACTCTACCCCGGGTTCCTGCAGCAGCTTGTCACCCACCCCCTCTCTCCCCACGTCGCACTACTCATCGCTTCCTAATTACCCCTTGATTTCAGTGCCTCGGCATCTGGCCTGGTCCTTAATGACCAGACCTCCCTGCCCAGGCTGTTGGCATATCTGTCCGTGGACATATGGCTTCCCTGAGGCTGGACAGACCTCGGCCGTGGCCTGGCCTGTTCTTGGAGTCGCTTTCTTCGCTCAGTCACTCTGCACGGCTTGAAACACAGTCTGGAAGCTGGGGAGTGTTACTGACCCCAAGCCCTCAGGCTCTTTGTTGCAGCAACTTTAAGGCCCCAGTGGACCCCAAAACCAGCCCCAGGAAACAGAAGGGGTCCCTGAAGCCACATTCACATAGGAGCAGCGCTGTCTGATGGAACTTTCTGCGAGGACAGGAATGTTCTCGAGCTGCGCTGTCCAACACGGTAGCCGCTTCTCCCCTGTGGCTCTTGTGTGTGGTTAGTGCAATTTTTTTTTTATCGTGGCAAAATACACATAGCATAAAATTGACCACCTTAACCATTTTTTTAATAAACTTTTTTTTTTTTAAAGATTTTATTTATTTATTTGAGAGAGAGCACATGAGAGGGGGGAGGGTCAGAGGGAGAAGCAGACTCCCCGCCGAGCAGGGAGCCCGACGCGGGACTCGATCCAGGGACTCCAGGATCATGACCTGAGCCGAAGGCAGTCGCCTAACCAACTGAGCCACCCAGGCGCCCCACCTTAACCATTTTTAAGGGCACAGCGCAGCAGCACAAAGTATACTCACGCTGTCGTGTAACCATTCCCACCATCCATCTCCAGAACTTTCTCATCTTCCCAGACTGAAACTCTGTCTCTCTTAAAACACCGACTCCCCACGCCCCTGCCCAGCCCCTGGCTCCCACCATCTTCTCTCTGTCTCTGAGGATGGGACTCCTCTAGGGACCTCTAGGGAGTAGAATCATATACTACTTGTCTTTTTGTGACTGGCTTGTTTCACGGAGCATAAGGTCTTCAAGATTCATCCATGTTGTAGCAGGTGTCAGAATTTCTTTCCTTTTCAAGGCTGAAGAGCATTCCACTGTGCATACATACACCCCGTTTTATTTATTCATTCATCCGTCAATTGGCATTTGGGTTGTTTCCACTGTGAATAATGCTGTTAAGATCATAGATACACAAGTCAAGACTCAGCTTTCGGGCGCCTGAGTGGCTCAGTTGGTTGAGCGACTGCCTTCGGCTCAGGTCATGATCCTGGAGTCCCAGGATCGAGTACCGCGTCGGGCTCCCTGCTCAGCGGGGAGTCTGCTTTTCCCTCTCCCGCTCCCCCCCTCTTATGCACTCTCTCTCTCTCTCATTCTCTCTCTCAAATAAAAAAATAAAAAAAAACCCTCAGCTTTCAATTCTTCTGCGTATACACCCAGAAGCAGAATTGTTGAATCATATGGTAATTCTATTTTTAATTTTTTGAGGAACCGCCATACTGTTTTCCACAGCGGCTGCGCCATTTTGCATTCCCACCAAGAGTACACAGGGGTTCCAATTTCTCCTGAGGAACTAAGCTTTTCATTGTATTTCAGTTTTAATTTTACCAGCCACGGGTAGCTATTGGCTCTTGCATTGGATAGCAGAGGCCTTGAGAATGAAAATAAACTCCTCGCTAAGGCCTACAGGTCTCTGTGGTCTAGCCTGCTGGCCTCTTGGAGTCCTTCTCCCAGCCCCAGGTGGCAGCCATTTGCGTCTCCTTTCTGCTCCCCGCCCCCCAGCTGTCCACACACACACACACACACACACACACACTCCTGAGGACCTTTGCATCTGCTGTTCCAGCTGGCTGGAGCACCCTCCCCCATTATCCTCCCATGACCCCACGACTGGCTCCTTCTTGTCCTTCAGGTCCCACCACTTCAGGAAGACCTTCCCTGACCTCCCCACTGGAAGTCACTCCCCCCTTCTCAACCATGTCCTAACACACGATCTGATTACATTTTTCTTCTAGTTTTTATCACTCTCAAAAATTACACTGGGGGTTTGTTGACCGTCTGTCTAGAGGGAATGCTGGAGGACAAGCCGTGTCTGCTGTGTTCACAGCACCAGCTCCTAGGACACCCACTCCTAAGACGGGGCTTGCACCAACAGGCCTTTAGTAGGCACAGCTCCGATCAGACAGAGAGGCAAAAGGAATGACTTTGGAGCAGTTCCAAGTACCCAACTTTTAGCCACTGGCTCAAGAATGCATCCGTGATCCACCCCCCGGTTGCAGGTGCGCCACAAATACCATGAAAATCTACACGCAAATGCAAAATGTGGAGCATCTACGCATGGTGCATATTCTGATTTTTTATGCCATGGACCCAGACAGAAGGAAGAAGCTGTAACAGGAGCAAGGTGGGTGATGGGAGAAGGTCCGTGTAGGTTTTTTAGGGACTACATACCGCCCATTCGCCCATTTGCCCATTCGATTCTCACTTAATTCTAACAAAGACTCCAGCAGGGAGAGGGTAAGTACGTATCTCCATTTCACAGAAGCAAGACCACAGGCTCTTCTGAGAAGCAGCAGGGCCAAAGCTAAGC